TATCTAAAACAAATAAATTGTTATTCATCTATTGCATAAAGCAACATGAACTAATATAAAATATAATTGATTAACAGGTGCAAGCATATTCAGAGTTTCTATTTAGGCTATAACACGCGTTTGCAGCATTGAGCAATGCAGTGCTGAAATTTGCGTGCTCACAAATCCTCTCATTACACACGAATTGTAGACATTATGAAATTCATTATGCATATATTTATTGTGTTATAACACATTTGTGGGATTGCGATGAACTGAGATGTCTTTTAGAGATTATAAATGCAGAGCTCTTTGCTGGCATTCTGCCATGCCAAACCATGCACGCAGCAGCCGCTTGCTTTAGTTAAAAATAACAGTGTTCTGTGAATGTTGATGCTTTAATAACAAATATTTATCGGGAGCGTGTATGCTGGGATTTCATAAATTTCATGGAGAAAAAGTAACATAACTAGTAATGTAACTAATTACTCATGTAACTAATATCAGTAATTTGATTACATTTTCAGAGTAACTTGCCCAACACTGCACACACATCCATTCACATATATATACATGAATTTTACATATGTATATAATGTGAATATACATTTTGTATAGTGAGCACAGCACAGGTGACTTCCATTATCTAGTCTGCTCAGTGTTTAGGATGTCTGACTCTGACACCCTGTTGTCATGGGAACACATCTGCAGTTGTGTTGCATGTGTCAGCACTGTCAGTTTCTGCATGTCAGATTTCAACCCTTCTAAGATGTAGATCAGCTGCAAAAAATGTTTATTTATTTATTTTTTGAACCAGCCCCTGAAACCATTATGTGCATTTTTTTTCTGTATAGAGCTGTAGGTACTGTTACTTGGCAGTTAGCACTAACAATGTGGTGGTCTTTGCTTCTCATTTTCTGTTGTTTTTAAAGTCTGAATGGTAACAAATAACTTTAATCAAAAGTGATGAATGATCACATACTTTGACACCTTTTTATATTATCATTAATTCTTAGAAATGTTTGTCCCCCCAAAGACAGGCCATTCAATTGTTTGGCAAACTTTCATTGTCTGTGCCACAGCTCTTAATGCATTTAGTTTAATTTGTATAAGGGCACAAATAGATCCAAAGCAAAGCTTGCTACTCGCAGTAAATAACAGTCAGAGTGGCTGAGTCTAAAGACTGATATCAGCTAGACTTCAGACACATTTTGTAACCACCTAGCTTTTTTTGCAGTTCTTTTACAGACTGCGCTTTTGAAACCAGGACTGTTCGTATTGAAAAGAGAAAAAAAATACCAGCAAACTAACACACGCCATACAGTGATACTTTAGTGAGTTGTATAATTATTCCTCTATTTGTATATTAAATTTCATTGTTTTTTAAAACAAATATATGTAATACAGTGCCGCTTGAAAGTTTGTGAACCCTTTAGAATTTTCAATATTTCTGCATAAATATGACCCAAAACATAATCAGACTTTCGCACAAGTCCTGAAAGTAGACAAAGAGAACCTAATCAAACAAGTGAGACAAAAATATGTTCTTTGTCATTTATTTATTCAGGAAAATTATACATTATTACATATCTGTGAGTGGCAAAAGTACGTGAATCTCTAGGATTGGCAGTTAATTTGAAGGTGAAATTAGAGCCCATCTGTTTTTCAGAGTTGTTTTCAATCAGTGAAATTACTATCAGGTGTCAGTGTGTGCCCCGTTTTATGTAAAGAACAGGGATCTATCAAAGTCTGATCATGTTTGTGGAAGTGTGTCATGGCATGAACAAAGGAGATCTCTGAGGACCTCAGAAAAAGAGTTGCTGTTGCTCATCAGGCTAGAAAAGGTTACAAAAACATCTCTAAAGAGTTTTGACTCCACAAATCCACAGTCAGACAGATTGTGTTCAAATGGAGGACATTCAAGACCACTGTTACCCTCCCCAGGAGTGATTGACCAACAAAGATCACTCCAAAAGCAAGACGTGTAATAGTCTGCAAGGTTGCAAAGGAACCCAGGGTAACTTCTAAGCAACTAAAGGCCTTTCTCACATTGGCTAATGTTAATGTTCATGAATCCACCATCAGGAGAACACTGAACAACCACGGTGTGCATGGTGCATCCAAAAAGAACATTGCTTCCAGTCTGCTAAAGATCATGCGGACAAGCCAGAGGAATACTGGAGAAATGTTTTGTGGACAGATGAGACCAAAATAGAACATTTTAGTTTAAATGAGAAGCGTTATGTTTTAAGAAAAGAACACACTGCATTCCAGTATAAGAACCTTATCCCATCTGTGAAACATGGTGGTGCTGGTATCATGGTCTGGGCCTGTTTTGCTGCATCTGGACCAGGACAGCTTGCCATCATTAATGGAACAATTAATTATAATTATGTCAGGACATCTGTCAGTAAGCTAACTCTCAAGTGGGTCATGCAGCAAGACAACGACCCCAAGCACACGAGTTGTTCTACCAAAGAATAGTTAAAGAAGAACAAAGCGAATGTTTCGTAATGGTCAAGTCAAAGTCCGGACCTTAATCCAATTGACATTTTGTGGAAGGAGCTGAAGCAAGTAGTTCATAGGAGGAAACCCACCAACATTACAGAGTTGAAGTGGTTCTGTACTGAGGAATGATCTAAAACTCCTTCAAGCCGTTGTGCAGGACTGATCAGCAGTTACAAGAAACATTACTTGTATAATACACCAGATACTGAAAGCAAAGATTCACATACTTTTGCCACTCACAGATATGTAACACTGCCGTTTAATTATTGAGAAAAGTGATCCAAAGAAAATATTTTTGTCTCATTTGTCTACTTTCAGGACGTTTGATTGTTTTGAGTCATATTTATGCAGAAATATAGAAAATTCAAAAGGGTTCACAAACTTACAAGCAGCACTGTATATGCTCCCCCCCCCTTAAATCCCAATTTAACACCTAGATATATTTCAAGAATTTATTAATAATTTATTATCAGTTCAATTCATTGAGTTCATTATCAAGAATTAAACAATTCATAATTTAAAACATTAAAACAAAACAAGAAGTTGCTTAACTGCGTAATGGATGGAACATCACTGCAGCATGGTTGAGAATATGACATTCATCCAGACACTCAAGAGACTCTTTACAGATGTGATAAACTCCTGTTTAATTGCCAACCATTAGTCACAATTATGAAAGTTACCCAGGGAGATGCTGTCTTCCACCACCCTCCACATTAAACGTTAACAAGGGTTGTCTGGTAAAATAGAGCCAAAACGTCTTGCTAGAGAAAACCTCTTTGCCTGTGTGAAAGTACCTGCTCTGCCTGATGGCAAGGTCAATGCAATCAATCAAGGCTGTCAGCTGTAATTCTCTGCATTTTAATTTAAATGTCAACAGCCTCATCTGTAATAGCTCATGTCAGTGGTGAACGTGACTGCATGGCTCCATCTGCTGGAACAGTACCTGGTTACCATAGAAATCTGTGCCAAGGATTAATCAAAAGCTTCATCGGACATGTTTTAAAATACCATTTTGACATGAAGTGCCATTTCTGTTTTTTTGTTGTCACCCGCTATGCCACATCACCCTCCTGTGCTACAAAAGAAATCCTCTTCTTTTTTTTCTTCTTCTTCTTTTCTCCAGTATGTGCCACAGTATGAATAAATCATGCCGGTTTCTGCAAGAGGTAGTTTGACAAGAAGATATTCAGCTAAATATAATAAATATATTATATTTATCTAAATATATATAATATTAATATTAAAATACATATGTAATATTTATCTCAATGTATAATATTATTTAAACCTAATATTAATCTCTCTTGCTGTATCACTTGTTTACTAATGGTTATTCCTTCCGCAGGCTCACCTAAGATTCCTTTAAAGTATCTTTCCTTTGTTTTTAGAGACATCTGTCAGAAAAGCAATCTATAGAACATAAAAAGCCATGTTCTATACATTAATATGACAAAAGCTAACATGAAATGTTAATGAACAATGCTTTTACTACATGTATTAATGTTTATGGTTAATGTTTGTTGTCAGTTTCTACATATACTCTTATATTTTTAATATTTCAAACATTAAGCAAGTGACTAATGGCTTCTGTGCTTCATTAGTTAACCTGATTAAAATAATGCATTAAACTTCTGTGATTATGCATGTACATGTCAAAGCAGCAGTGTCTGCTTGTCTCAGATTTAACTCACGATTTGAACCCATCGTTCCATACTTCTCTCTTTTTTTTTTTTTTTGCCCACATAAGTTTGTTTCAGTTTGTGAAATTAGTTCTTGTCCTTTCCTGCAGTCTCAAGAGGAGGTGTGTGACTTGTTGCATGCAGCACCATTCCAGAACATCTTGCCAAGAGTTCACGTTAAAGGTAAGCTCATGTTTATGTATGTTTGCAGAGGATATGCAGTATTTTTAGCATGCTTTATTTGAGCAGTTCCTCATACATGTCCAATAATCCTTTTACAACCCACACTTGAGCAGAAGGTGAGCGTCTGGATGCAAAGATGAAGCGTTTGGAGGCCAAATACACTGCATTGCATTTGGTGCCTCTGATTGAGCGTCTGGGAACCCCTCAGGTGGGTGAAACACTGATAGCCGCTTTAGTCGTGCTCTGTTGCTTTACTGCCTCCAGTACACACAACTACTTGTTGTTATTGTCATTAGCATCTCCGATTACACACCTAACTGCTGGTTTGATCTCATCCCTGAGACTTCCACATTCATGTTTAGTTTGAGTTGTGTCGGTGGTAATGGGCAATTTGATTCTTTTCAAATAAAAATGGTGATTTCTAAAATGTACTTGAAGATATGTGTATTAATTCATCCTGGTAACTCTGCTATTTTCTGTTACTTTCTGTTACATTAATTGGCATTTCTACAAAAGGAATCAGTATCCACGCTCGTGCTTTGGTAAATCATGCTCTTTGAGAGAAAAAGTTGAAATTATGAGATAAAATCTTAACTATGACAAGTTGAAATTATCATGCTTTGGTAAATCATGCTTTTTGAGATAAATATCTGAAATTATGAGATGATAAAGTCAATCATGACTCACAATTCCAACTTTTCATGTCATAATTATAAGTCAGAATTAGGCATGCCATAATTGACAATGTCGACATTGAGATACTTCATAATTGAGTCAATTGTGAGACAAAAAGGTCAAAATTATAGCATCTCAGCATGGACGTTTTATGCCATCTTTGATTCATTGTCAGAATTGTCACAATAGCACTTAAGTGTGCTGACCTACTGTTCAAGTTTTATAAATAATGGTTAATATGCTTTGAAGGACAAATCATCTGTTTTGACAAAATAAATACCGTAATCACTGTTGAATGCAGACTTGAGTGAGCCGTAGTGGTCCGATTTTAATCAATACCCTGTACAATCTCTCATCAGCAAATTGCCATCGCCCGAGAGGGTGACCTGCTGACTAAAGAGCGCCTGTGCTGCGGTCTCTCCATATTCGAGGTCATTTTGACTCGCATCCGCGGTTATCTGGACGACCTAATGTGGCGTGGCCCGTTGCCCAGCAACGGCGTGATGCACGTGGACGAATGCGTGGAGTTTCACAGGTTGTGGAGTGCCATGCAGTTTGTGTACTGCATCCCGGTGGGAGCACACGAGTTCACTGTTGAGTGAGTGCAAACTGATCACCTGTATTTCTTGTCATGTAGAATGGCTGTTTACAGTAAGATTAGGATATTTGTGCTTTTTAAAGCATATTGATCTTCTAGGCAATGTTTTGGAGATGGTCTGAACTGGGCTGGTTGCATGATTATCACATTGCTTGGACAGCACAGACGCTTTGATATCCTGGACTTCAGCTACCATCTCCTTAAGGTGCAGAAACATGACGGCAAAGATGAGATCATCAAGAGTGTGGTGAGTTTTTCCTTAATGAGTTTGATGTATATTTTATTTAACTTCTGCAGTCAAGACTTCAACTAAACAATCTTTTTCCCCCCCCTCACACTTTAGCCTCTAAAGAAAATGGTTGAACGAATTCGCAAGTTCCAGGTTCTGAATGATGAAATCTTCGCCATTTTGAACAAGTACCTGAAGTCTGGGGATGGAGAGAACATGCCAGTAGAACATGTCCGTTGCTTCCAGCCTCCGATCCATCAGTCCTTGGCCAGTAACTGAGATTGACGTACATTTGCTCCAATTAGAAGTGGAAGAGATGGTAGAGGGGAACATATTTAGCAACAAGTTTAGCCTCATGTTTAGGACCAGTTTCACTGTCACATTCTACTTAGAGACGCCTTTCTTACACCAGCCTGTAGTGTTCACAGAGCCAGTAAGTTGCCTTGTGATTAGTCGAGTGTTTGGTAAGCACCCGACCAGTTGTACCATTATTGGTTTTGTCTCAGGCTTTGGTAAATTAGGCCAAAATATGTTTTAAAATGATGTAGACAAACACGGCCCAGTTTTACTTCGTGTATGTCAGGTTGATTTTATTTTGTACACACACTCGTGCCTTATTATAGATAAATGACTTATCTTTTATATGTTAATGATAGCACAGCACTACTCGTTTTCATGTTTTATACTTGGGGAAAGCAGTGGGAAAGGGTCAGAAAATGGCCAAGTGGGTTTTATCAACGGATTATTTAAGCTTTTGCTGTGGTGAGAGACCAGCGGTATATTTCTGTGTGGTGTTTTGGAATGATTATATGCAAGATCTTTTTCCTTCTGTTATCCTGAATAAAACTTTAAGCATAACCAAGTTCTTACTCTCAATAAACGTGCCTTTTTGTATTTGAATTATGTAATCAGATTTTAATTCAATAAATATGTATCAAACCCTGGTTTCCTGGGTTCTTTTTCCACCAGATCAAATGGGTTAAAGGACTAGTTCACACAAAAAAAAATGGCAGGAAAAAATTCAGCATTGTCTCCTTAAGAGTTTAACTCCATCTTTAATCAAATCCACCTGAACCAGCTAATCAAGATCTTCAGGACTGCTTGAAAATCATCTTTGAAGATGCTGAAGCAGGTTGGAAATATATTTTGCCGAACAGTGGGTCTCCAGGAGCAGGGTTGAAGATGTTTGGACGATGCGATTTATAATCTAAAGCAGTGTTTCTCAACCAGGGGTCCTTGACGTAAGGCCAGGGGGTCCATATAAAGTATGAATTTTTGTATAAATGTTGTATATTTTGACATGACTCCTGTTCCCATGAAAGAAAAATCCAATATAGCTGATATGGCCAAATACTGGACAGGTCAACTAACTTGAATTATACTTGACTGCATTTGGTCCTCACAAATGATACATAGATGAGTCAATTTTGTTCTGGGGGGTCCTTGAGGATGGTTCTGAATTGGACTGGGGTCCAGTACGCCAAAAGGTTGAGATTCACTGATCTAAAGGTTACTGTGCAGTGTTAATCTTTTCAACAATCTTACTGAAGTTACATTTATTTCACTGATGAGGGACGAGTGCATCCCACATTATATAGTTCAGTGGTGCATCCTGACGATAATTAAACGATTTGAATTAAAACATACTAAACAATGAGATATTAACAATGTATTTAAATAATTAAAATCTAGTTTCAGGTGATGAAGCTGAACAATGAATGAACAGCGCTCAATTAAAGCGCTTTGCTGGCGGGTTAATTAACTCAGCCAAACGTACCCTATCCATATTAGATTAATCAAATACACAGACAACAAATGCATTATTACATCTTGCATTCACACAAAATGACGCTAATGAAAAGTGCTAGTCAAAATGTGTCAGTGTCTCTGAAACACGTGAATATCTGGATTTGTATTAATAATCACAACACTGCTGATGAACTGAGAAGGTCTTCTCATCATTTCCCTTGGATGTCTTTAATACAAAGTCAAAGCAACTACCGATTTTGTAGAAAGAAACTCAGTGCATGTAAATACAGATGTGTACATAAAATATAACAAAAGTCTCTTAAAATGTACAGTTGTGTATTTACAGTGCTACATGAGGAATGATATTAAGCTTACCATGTAGTCTAGCTTGAAACAAACAAACAAAGAACAAAAATGAGCTAAACGAAACCCTAAGTACAATCGATTGGTCCATCTTTTTTGTATATTTATTTTTTTGCGTTGAGAGTTGATTGTCTTAGGTTTGATCTCCTATCTGAAAAGGAAAGAAAAATGCTAAATGTCCATTGAGCAGCCAAAACAATTTCATAGACAAACTGCTGCATACTGGTTCCTCACTGAACCTAAGAGACTGTCATAGCGCCATTTCTTCTGGAGACGCTGTCGAAAGGCAACCCTGACTCTCTGTCGTCAAAGTCCTCTGTATGTAGCAGCTCGTAACTGGAGTGGTTGTTAGCTGCCATGCCGTTTAATACAGGGCCATTCTTCTCGTCCTTCCTGATGGACACAGCCAGTGTCGCCAAGCTAATGCTAACGTCCTTAAAGGCGTGCAGCAGGAAGATGCCCACGATAATCGTAAAGAAGCCGCTCAGTGTGCCAATGATATCATCGGTGCCCATGTGTTCCCATTCTTTGAACAATATGGCAGAGCAGGACAGCACTGAGGTGGTGAAGAACACGTAGTAGATGGGCGTCACCAGGGATGTGTTAAAGATGTCCAGTGCTTTGTTCAGGTAGTTGATCTGTGTGCTAACACAAGCTATCAGGCTCAGCAGCAGCAGCCAGGCCAAAGGGTTTCGCAACACTGGCTTCCCAGAGATGGCCTCCTTAATGGTGATGCCCAATCCCTTCACGCAGGAGACAGACAGAGCACCGATCACAGAGCAGATGGTGATGTAGACCAGGATGTTGGTCTGCCCGTGGCGTGGGCCCACTACGAAGATGAAGATGAGAGCTATGATGATGACAGCTGTCGCGAAGACCACGAAGCCTGGAGACAGATGGGAGAAAAGATAACAAATATGATTAGCAATCAAGGATGCATTAAATTGATCAAAAGTGACTTACATTTTTACAAAAACAGAAACTTTCAATTAAAACCGTTCTTTATGCATCAAAGAATCCTGAAAAAAAACTGATGTCCATTTTCACAAAAACATTAAGTAGCACAACTGTTTTCAACATTGATAATAATAATAAAAGTGCCCTGAGAACCAAATCCGCATATTAGAATGATTTCTGAAGGATCATGTGACACTGAAGACTGGAGTAATGGCTGCTGAAAATTCCGCTTTGTCATCACAGGAATAAACTACATTTAAAATATATGAAATACAATGTATTTACATTTAAAATAAATATAGAATAAATGTACATTTAAATTGTAATAATATTAAAAAATGTGTTTATGTGGTTAATGTATTTTTGTTCATATAAATATGCGAGCATGAGACTTATTTCTTTTTAAATGGTTAAAAACAAAATTGGAAGAAAATATTTTAGTGTTCTTGTTACACGTTACATGCATTTACTGTACTAATAACAACAAATTATGCACAACTGCATGCAGCTAACCCTACTCTTAACACTATAGTAGGTGAATGTTGTTAATTTATATTACTCAGTTCTTAAATGTATAACAAGGACAACTTAAAATCAAGACCTCACACTTTTGAATGGTTGTGTACCTGCAACCTGTGTAGTCTTATCAAGACCACAATAATGCATATTGATATTACAATAGTCGAATTACTCAGCAACACTGCTGAGCAAAAACAAGTTATTCACATTCCAGGAGGGCCTTCATTGTCTTTACATGTCGTGGTTTACCTGGATCAACCAGTTTTTTGGCCATGTCTTCCAGGCTGTCGATCTCCTCCTCTTGAGGTGCATGTATCACCATGGTAGTGGAGCCCAGGATACTGAGCAGACAGCCAAGTTTCCCATGCAGGTTCAGCCTCTCTGTCAGGAAGTACGAGGACAGTACCGCACTGCAAAACCAGGCACGCATTAAACTTAACCAACTATCAAGGGATAGTTCACCCAAAAATTAACATTCTGACTTTATTTACTCACCCTTAAGTAATAGTAATATATAGATATTTTAATGTTGGTTTGGTCTTAAATCATGGAGTCGTCTTGAGGCCCCTTTAGAAGTTTATGAATACAGTAGGTTAGCCAAGACTTTGTGAATGATGTTGTAGCTTGTTTTTGTCCTTTTGAGAAGTTAATACCTTTAACACTTTGGCATTGAGCATTACAAAATGCAACACTTTGTAAAGTTCATGCATGCAACTACTAAGATTAAGGTCTATAGTGGTATGTAATTATACGTAATATAGGTAAGGAATAATTGACTCCGGGCCGTTGAATTATTAGAAAAATAATGCACACCCGAGGTGGGGTGGTATGATGGCAAGGTAACTACCACGTTCACTTTGGATGCACATTCACGACAGTACCATGACGTGAGCGTGTGATGGCGCTGACCCAGATCCGGTATAATGATGTCATCACACCGGATCTGGGTCAGCGCCGCCATAAGCTCGCATCATGGTACTGTCGTGAACGCGTATCCAAAGTGACACAGTAGAGACGAAAATGTGGAATAAAGTCGTTATTTTTGTTTTCTTTGCACAAAATATTTATTCTCGTAGCTTCGTAACTTTACAGTTGAACCACTGATGTCACACGGACTACTTTGTCGATCATCTTGGTACTTTTCTGGACCCTGAACGTGGTAGTCTTGTGTGAATTAGGCTACCTCTGTACGTCCCTCAACAGTGTTCTGCAGCAGCGTCTCTAAACAGTGCTGTTATTACCTCGCTAGTGAGAAATGTCATGTGTAGCCTTAAAGTAGCTACACTATATAGGCTAACTGATCAAATCGTCAGGGCAGCGCTGACAACACCTTTTTGTGCAAACTGCGTGACCGTAGTGTGCGTGTACGTGTGATTGCAGTAATTCCTGTGTGCTGTATAGGTACTGTATGCTAATTTCCGTTATTACAGTTAACTATGCGAAGTGATATGGAACTGTAATGCGGTCAAGAGAGCTGCCTGGAACTACGTTCGCCGTGCGTTTCCCTGCACACCTCAGAACGTTCGTCAGCCAATCAGATTCAAGCATTCAACGGCCCCGTAGTATAATTATGTATATAACACATTTTATTGCATATCTGTTGCCGACTCATTTCAAATGTATACGTGCTTTTCTTCTTTTTTAACAGCTCCCACTCGCTGTGGTGGAGCAGCTATGAAATATTGTTCTTGTAAATACCAGCAATTCAGTAAGAAATATGCCTGCAAATTACAGCGAAGTACAACAGTTACAGTACGGTGTTCGACAGTGGTCAAAAAGGATTTAAATGGTTAATTTTTTCTTCTTGTAAACTCAGAAATGTGGATTTGACCTTGGTTTTTGTCAAAAAAACAAACAAACAAAACAGTAGGTAATTCTGCCGGAGATATTCACAGGGGTGGTGGGAGAAAAACACAGACATTCTGGATTCGGGCAGCAATAAAATCACAGACTAGCCCCTGTAAATGTTCAAAATAGCTCACGATCAATATGAATCACTATAGTTCTGAGTCCAAGAGAGTAACATCCTCCCAAGCAAAGCTGCATTTCTATATACCATCCACCTGCTGTATCATTAAAATTGATTTGCACATTAAAGGGTTAGTTCACACAAAAAATGAAAATTCTGTCATTAATTACTCACGCTCGTGTTGTTCGAAACCCGTAAGACCTTCGTTCATCTTCGGAACAAAATTTAAGATATTTTTGATGAAATAGGAGGGCTCTCTGACCCTCCCATAGATGGCAAGGTAACTACCACGTTCACTTTGGATGCACATTCACGACAGTACCATGATGTGAGCGTGTGATGGCGCTGACCCAGATCCGGTGTAATGATGTCATCACACCGGATCTG